ATTTAAATCATCACAACTTCTTCCAACATTAAAGATCAATAATCTCCCTAACTTCCATCCAAAACTTAATTACTTATCATTTTAAGAAGAAAGATAAATAAAACTACTCATAATCCATGGAGAAAACAAAACCACACTTTAGTTTAAAAGAAGAAATCATTCTCAAACCAACAACAAGTCTTAATTAAAACTAAAAGTTGTCTAAAACAAAAAGATAAAAACTTATTTCAAGTCCTCCACCAAACTCTTGAAGTTCCTTTGATTCTCTTCTCTTTTACAATCACTCAAAACAAAATAACAAAAAGGATAAAGTAAATAAAAAGTGGTTTTTGAAAATCTCTCCGAACTAACTCCCCAGAAAAGAACTTTCAAAACTTGCCAATACTTTCAGGACTCTTTTCTAAGTGCTCTCTCTTTCTTTTATAGTTTTCCAAGAGGTGCTTTGGGATCTCTTCAAAATGTGTCTTGATTCGATGTATTTACCCAAGAGATGCATCCTTTCATGATAATTTTCATCTACGGTGGTTACAACCACCTATTAAGCTAATGGGTGCCTCAAAAACCTCTTCGAAATTCGTGAAAATTGATTTTACTTGTCTAGTAACTGCCACTGGCGCTTAAGCGCGGGGTCTCAGAGCTTAGGCGAGTCCTTCTCTGTTTAACTGGCGCGTAAGCGCCGGATTTGGCGCTTAGGCGCCAAAACTCTTTTGCACAATTTTTTACATTTTTGCTCCAAATTTGATCCTTTTTCACTCTTTTAAGCATTTTCTTTTCCATTTTTACTTGTATCTGCAAGAAAAACACAAAAATATCTTCCATTAAAGCCCAATATCTAAAAAATAAGCATAAAAATGTGTCTACAAACACTACATATTTTAGGTGTATCAAGTGTCAGAATCACTAATAAGCGTTGAAGTAGGCTTTGGCTTTGGTAAAGTTGATGATTTGAGATCTCCATAGTTGATAATTGTTAGCGGATAATGTGTTTTGTGACCACAAATTTCAGGATATCAGAAATTTCTAAGAGGGTGGAATGGGAGTTTCATATATGCAAAGACTTACCGACCCTTCATTTATTTGCGATGATCCAAAACCATCCATGGCAGTGAAGCCAAAAAAAGGAGCTCTGATACCATATAAGCGAAAGAATAGAGAAGAAGATGTGAGGAAAGTATGAGAGCAGTAGTGAGAAGAAAATTGAAATCGAGAAGAGGAAGAAAATATTATTTCCCCACACCACAGAGTAAAGTGCATCACAATATTTATATAGTAGAGAACATGAAATAAGAAATGCAATAAAATGATAAAAAGACTATGTAAGTTACTATGAACCCATATCCTGAGAAATCAAGTCTTCTTTATCAGTTTATACTACTGAGCCTTATCTCATCTATTTTCATGGTGCTGTCACTCACTCTCTCTCTTCAGTTCCTTACTAATAACAATTCTTAATCCAAATTTATTTGGAAGAGACCTATCCCGCCAAATTGGAAAATATTGCCTTCACAGTACATATCGTGCAGACTCCAATAATACAGCACATATTGTAAAGTGGTGGGACCAAATTTTTGAAAATTAAAAAAATATGAAAAAAATCTACTTTTCACTTGACATGCCCTGAAGAACACTCGGTGGTATTGTGGTGATATTATTTTGGTATTGTTGCGATATTAGGGTAGCATTCTGGGTGTATTATAATCATATTTTTTTGATATTCTTGTGATATTAGGGTAGTATTATGGTGATATTATTGTGAAATTCTTTTGATAATCTAACGATATTGTGGTGGTGTTATAGTGATATTATGGTGTTATTATGATGGTATTCTAATGATATTTTGGTGCCATTATAGTGGTATTTTGATAATATTATTATGGTACTCTTATGGTATTCTAGTGGTTTTATGATGATATTTTGATGATATTATAGTGATATTATGGTGGTATTCTTGTTGTATTATGATGGTATTATGATGATATTTTGGTGATATTCTTGTGGTATTTTCGTGATATTATATTGTTAGTCTGGTGATATTCTATTGACATACCAAAATTCCACCTGAATACTTCCAAAACTATACAAATACCACTAAAATACTACAATAATACTACTATAATACTATAAAATATCACCAGAATATCACAATAATACCACAAAAATATCACCATAATACATCTAAAATATCACCAAATTACCACTAGAATATCATCAAAATATAACCATAATATCACCAGAATACCACTGAGCGGTATTTCTAGTACTATTTTGATGATATTCTGTTGTTATACCAGGATACCACTAGAATATTATTAAAATATCATCAAAATATGATAAAAATACGACAATAATATTACGAGACTACAAAAATATCACTAGAATACCACAATAATATCACAAAAATATTATCAAAATATCAAAAAAATACTACTATAATATTACCATAGAGTCTCTTCAGCCGAATCATGTGAAAAAATAAATTTTTTCTTTTTTTTTAAATCTCATCATAATACTTTTTAAATGGCGCTTCTAATACTCAACACAGGCTTTTCCTATTTTCTTCGCGGTTCTTAAAGCCGAATCTCCCGCCTCTCGATTACGCTATTTTGGTACTTCAAAAACCCTAGAAACCATAATTTAGTGAATGGCTGGAAGCTTTGAAATCGGTTTTACCCGTTTAAAACATGTCCTTGTCCAGGGACATGGCGCTCAAGCATAAGTCTGGAGAAACTGCGGTTGAAGCAAAGAAGAGGAGGCTGGTTGGCTTCGCGAAGACTGGTACCTTGTCTGGAAACTTCCCTTTCTTTATTGTTTTTTCTTGCTTCTTTATTCTTGTCCTAGATTTTTGTTATTTTCTATGATTTTCTACACCTTTTCCAAAATTTGTACTCCTTTTCTAAGACCTAGGTTCTCAGTATCGTTTTATTCTGCGCTCGCTATCTTGCGATGTCTTCAGTCGTGACATTCCTTGATTCAAGATGAATTCCTGCAGTCCTATTTATTTTGTTGTTATTTCCTTAGATGAAATTGGATCAATGTACTTTTATCTTTTTTTGGTTGTTTTCCAGGTCTGTGGATATTTTCTGAATGCCATATTTTTGTTTGCCAATCCGCATAGGAAGTTAGGCTTATTTGATGTTTATTTAATGTTAATGTTAGTTATTATTTCTACAAATTATCCTTTTTGCTGCGTGGTCATCCTATTGAAAGACTGAATTCAATTGCTTGGAAAATTCACACATCTGACACAGATGATCGCTTTAGGGGTGCAAACAATGTGATTTTGGGAGGATCTGTCATTTGATTGAGATCAATTCATTCCAATTACGGATGCCTTGTAATCCAGCTTGTGGATCAATTGAGTTCAATTTTGATCTTGCTGGTTTTGATTTTGTTTCACGATGATCTTGCTCGAATACAAATTAAGAACACTTAAAATTAAGTAAGGCAGCTGCACCAAAAAAAAAAGAAGTTCTCACTAAGCACCAATCATAGAAACATAAATTTGAGCTAAGAAGCCAGGAACTCAAACTAAACAGTCAGTCATAAACCCTCTTCTACTCCAAAGCATTAGAAACTTGAAACAAATTGTGGATTCTTTGTGGGAGAAGGGAAGGTGACCGAAGAGTGAACATTCACTCTCATATAATCCAAGACTTGCTCCGAAGAGGAGAAATGAGCTTGGTTAGGCTTTTCGTGAGATGAGGGAAGGGTTTGAGGGAAGGAGGGAGATGAAATGTTTCATATATGTGGCTAAGAACCTTCTTGAATTTTTACTTGATTCTACAATTTATTTCGATACATGAGGAGGGCAAAGGGTTTGGTTTTATAAAGTCAAGGTTATTGAACTTTAATCCTATCCATTCATTATAATGGTTAAATGGTTATTATTAACTAACTCAATTTCACATCTCATAAATAAAAGAAAATCTAATGGGGATTCAAATTCACACTTGCTGTGAGGAAAATGAAATTAATGAACTAAAATAATCATTTAGATGAGGTGAAATCTATCTTTAAGTTTGGCATTAACTATATAAAAATATATTAATAAAATATTAATGATAAAAGTTTGGTACCATCATGAGCATTGGATCTCATTTTGTCTATATGTGGGTTATGCCAAAAGTTAACTAATCTAGAGAAGATAGGTGGTTATGAGAAGATAAGGAAGAAAATCGAGAGGAAAAAAATTCATTATCATTTCAATGAATAATAGTATGATGAATTAGAGGCTAGAAAAACCTAGACTGTTTACCTATAATTGCAAGAATGTAGCTCTTCCTACGACCTTATATTTATAGGAGAGATCAAAATTTGATTACTATAAAAATGACTACAACATGTGCTATATGTATAAAAAGTACAAATAAAAGTACAAGGGAGCCTAATTAAGGATTTAGACTTACCGGTAGTCGGCTATTCGACTTGGAGAAAATTTTTGGTTCTTTGAATTATAATTATCAAGCGGCTCTCTTGGGAGACTATCCAAGCCATGTCAATTTGGTGAGTTTGTTTTTGTATTTATGCAAGTTCTTCATAAGCCTAGTGAATGTATCCCTATAGTTTGTTGAAGTTCACCTTGCTTTTAGTGAGTAAATGTCTAGAACCTTGCTTGGAGAGTCCTTTTGAGACTTGGCTAGTGAGTCTGCCTTGAGCTTGACTTGACGTGTTATCTTGGGATCCAATTAGCATGTTTTCCTTGAGCCCGACTTGATGAGGTTTTCTTCTTATTTTTTGCTTTGGAGAGTCAACCTTTAGTTTTTGTTTAAATTTTAAAAAAATTATTTTGTTTTTTTTGTTTTTATATATTTTTTTTTTTTTTTTTCTTGTATTATTATAGGGGGTCTGCAAAGAAGAATAAGATAATGATAGAAAATATGAACTTTATGTTTAATTAGAGCTTATACTTAGCTCATTCTAGATGCAATATGTTCTTTCTTACATTGTGTTTATTGCATTATTATTTTTTTGAATAAAATGAATTAGTGCAATATCTGACATTTAAAGCGATCGAGAAATAATATGTAGCATAATTTAAGAATAGTTAATATTAGATTGCGCTTATGGATTTGATTGTTTCGTCATTTTGTCAATGTTAGAGTGTTCTTTCATTGATTGAACTCTACAACTGCGAGAATGGAGGTCTCGATGGGAAAGTTTTGATGTTTTCAACGATGCTTTGATAGCTAGTATCAAGAATATGTAGAATATGAAGAGTTCTTCAAGAGAGAAGACGATACGGCTTGAGCTAGTCAAGGCGAGTATGAAAAGCAGTGTGGTCTTCATTGTTCCTAAAGTGACCACGACAATAATTGTTATCAACTTGCCACCCCAAGCAGTAGTTTCCTTAGAGCAAGTCGTTGAGGGTCCACATGCTCGTGAGCTAAAAAATCATTATGTGCTTATTGTTTGTTCTCCCTTGCATTTTTTTTATTTCTAAGTGCACTTGCATTGACCTTGCCTTTTTGAGTTCTAAAATTTGCATAAGGATGTTGATGGAATCCTTTTATAGGCTTCTTGTGGATTTTTTTTACATGTAGAAGTTTCACATTAAACATCGACCATCTGATGATCCGGTTAGGAGAGTAGATGTTTTAGATTCGATTTTTGTTAAGAAAGACAGAGGCAGACCTAAGAATTGGGTATATTGTATAAAAAATGATCTTAATTTATAAGAATTAAATGAAAATATGACACTCAATAGGATGCAATGGAGAAAAAAGTTTCATGTAGCTGACCCCACTTAGTGGGATAAAGACTTGTTGCTGTTGTAGAAGTTTTGAAATAAGGATAGTTTGGTCAAATTCCCTTTAACCATACTTGCACCTTTGGTATCATCATAAGAATCATTGGGATTGCAATTTAGGGTTTTTGAATTAACGACACGTTATATAGTTGCCATTTTGAAGCTGGAAGCATCCATCCTGGCATCATTGGCATTTCATTATGTGAAGAAGAGTTGCCAAAATTGCACTTAAGTTCGTTGCAGGGTTTGAGAGCTTCAAGATGTGTTGGGTCTTGGTCTTTTGATGGAGGTTTAAAGGTTTTTTTTTTTTTAATTTTTTAATTTTTTTCTCAGTGATTTGATGTCCATAAGAGTCATAGCAGGATGATTTGTTGGCAAACCAGCATTGTCTATGTTGGCGGCATACACAAATAAAACAATACTAGTTATGTAAGGTGTATGTCTCAGCTTGTCCTTTGAGGCATTTTATGAGAGTCGAGGCACACCTCTTTTCAATCTCCGAGATGCTAATGCTTATAAAACTTGGGTTAAGATAACTTAAAAAAAAATTAGTTTATGAATGCAATATATAAAATTGATTCTATTTTGTTATTTCTCTATATCTAAACCTATAATATATAGAATCGATTATTGTCCCCACCATTTCTACTCCCGGCCACGCATTGCACTTGAGCCCCACGCCTTGCACTCATCGTTGCTACTTTTCCACCACCTCTACTCTACTTTCTAGTATCTAAGGTTGCAAATGAACGAAAGCAAGTTATGTACGAATTTATTCAAGCTTGAGCTCATTTATTAAAATTATGTTCAACTTGAAATCAAGCTTGAATCAAATTTATGTGATCACATTCAAGATTGGTTTATTTAAATTCATGATTGTTTGAGCTTGGTTTGTACTCAACTCAAGTTCAACTCATGTTGGGATTAACGTGCTTTAAACATGTAGTTTGTTTAGAAAAAAAAAAACTTTATTGAGTTAATTAATGAGCAATATTATTTTTTTAGGTAGTCAAATAAGTCTTATCAATTCTATTAAAGAGTGAGGCTTGTTATTAAATAGATGAGCGAGGTTATTAAGCCCATTATCGTGCAAGTCCATCAAGCAGCATGTTAACTAACTAAATGAGCTTTATCAGAGTTTGTGAATGATAGTTTGCCAAAGTTAAAATGAGATTTTAATTAAATGAGTTTCTAAATGAATAATTAAAATAAGCATTCTAATAGGCATAATTAAGTAGTTTGTGTTCAAGAATAAAATCAAACTTGTTTGAGAAAAAATAAAACTTTTTTATTTTATTTTTTTCACATTTATAGTTAAAGGGCCATTTCTATCACAATGAACTCAATTCCTCTGATTTCCAACTTTAAAAAAAGCATAACTAAATCAAAATCAGTACAAATCCAACAACAGTATATATTTATTCGACAAATATTTGAAATCTGAAAAGAAGAAAAACAACATAGAGAAAAAAGGCAAATCTAAGATTGTGAAAAATCTGTTCATGTTTGAAGAGATCGCAGGAGCGGAATTTTTTGTCACTACTTGGATAAATGATCAACTTGAGATTGTTTCATTTGTGATTGGCTATGAAGTTGGTATCAAAGGTTTTTGAAGTGAAGCGAACAATACAACCATATATGCAATATAAGATAAAATTGTTTGAGGAACGAATGACGTAATGGTCTAAAAAGTTACCTAAGGTTATGGAATAGGTGATGAAGCTATCTGAGAAGCGAGCAATTCAAACAACTGTGGAGCAGGAGAGGAGGTTTATTGAGTAGCTATGAGCGATGCAACATGCTATGGAGAGAGCTTGTAACTAGCATTAGTCTGACTGTATTTTGGTGTTGTGTGTTGCTTGCAAAATCTCATCGACGATTAGCATTTACTATTTTGCATATCTTGATGCCCAAAGTCCAATGGAGGTGATAGATCAAAATGACAATGTTTAGATTGACAAGAATTATTTTCAAAATATTTTTCATATGAGTTTGCCGTTGCTACTTGAAATACACAAAGATGCTCTACCATTTTTATATTAAAATGTTCACCTCTTCAGCAACAATCATTAGTTGCAACTGGCTCATGAAACAAGGTTTTGGAGATGGCAGCAGTTCCATGAAGTTGGAGAATTGCCATACAATTTCATACTAAAGATCACCTATCTACGTGGTTGGACGTATCCGGTGCATTTCTCATGGAAAAAACAAGCAGGAAATCAGTTCAGTGGCCTTCTAGGATGCATGAATTTTTCACCTTTCTTTCTCTTATATTGCTTGCAAGTTGTGCAATCATGGAGGGATAATCGTTCAACATGATCAATTTGGCTGGACCTTATTTAGCCTATAGACCAGCTAGTTTCGACAATATCCTGCATAATTTTGATTTCAACTTTTGTCGTTGTTGGATTTGTCAAGATGATATTATGGTCAGGTTGCTTATGTGTCTGCAATATTTTGATTCTTTTGATCTCTAAATTAATTTTTTTTTGGTAAAAGTTGGTTTATTTTTGGTAAAATTCGGCGTTCAGTCATTTTTCTTGAGCTGCTTTTTAAGTTGTATTTTCAATCATATGAGTTTATTACGATCACAACTATATTAAAATCCATTTCATTGCTCAATTGGAAGATTAGTTTTTTCTTCTTCAATTTTTATTTTCCTTGGTTTATAGTCCAAAAGTTATTAGGAGTGCTGTGATATCTACATGATTCATTAAGTTGGTCTCAAGCTAACTGTTCGTAGATAATTGCCATTTGGGTAATAAATCTCTCCTAAAATAAATTCACGAAAAGTGAACTTGCCCTCCAATTTTTAAGAAAAGATCAGTCAAATTTTTTTCAGCAAAAAATGTGTGTAATCTTCGACTTTGATTGGCGCAACAATTTGGAGCCTAATATTTTTTTTTCCTTTGAATTTACTTTGGTAATGTTGCAATACTTATGCCATATGTGCATTGTTGTCTTCTCATTTGTTGCCAGCCTTGTAATTTGCAGAGATTATGGCATTTTAAAACTTTAATGCAAACAGCTAATGTATTACCATTTCTCTTTTTAAATAGGGTTTGTTTTTTTTGCTGCTGCAGCCATTTGTTCTTATGTTTTTATAATGGTTATGGCGTGCATAGTGTAGTGGTCATTCTTTAACCTTGTTTTTTTCTTTCATTATATGTATCCCATCATCATTATTGTTATTATTATTTTTAGGCTCACTGACATGATAAGTCCAATTTTATTTTACTTTTTTGATGTAGATGAAGGTGTTGAGGCAAATAAATGCATAAAGATATTCTTTGGTATGCAATTCTTTGCTTTAGACTTTTTCTCTTTATTATTCTCTTTATGCCTGATAATTTTTAGCTTGTCATTTATTTGACGTAGATATATAATCATTTGGTTTTATGGCTTCACCTAAAAATCTGCAAATTATTATGTTCATATAATAATAATTTTTTTTATGTATTCTGGGCATAGCAATGTGAGGCACTAAATCATTCTTTAACTTTTTATTTAAGATCTCTAGAAGTAGCATTTCATTATTTTCCCTTTCATAATGATGTTTCAATTTTGTTGATCAACTATATGTTTGCTTGGTGCAGCTTATATTTAGAAGCTTTACGCTATTTTATAATTTATGGCTTTTAATGACGGTTTGAGGTGTGTATAGTGTTTCTTCCAGAATTTTTTTCACGCTGCCACTATATGCATCTACTCCCCAATAAAACCTATAAAAATCAGTACAAAAAGAGATGACTAGTAATATTAAAGCAAATAATGTACTTATTAACAGAGGAAGTATTGCAGGTTTTGGTAATTGAGCAGGATAATGTTATTGTTATTGATAGGGGTATAAATACAGGATAAAATGATTCTAAAATAGGAAAATATAATACCCATATCTCTACCTAATAATTATTCAATGATGAATGGAAAGTTATAAATTAGGAAATACAACAAATATGAAATAACCGTTAAGAAAACTAAATTAATTTCTAACACATTTGATGTCAATCATGTTCAACTTGGATTGATAATCGTCAAACGGCGAGCGATAAAAATTCTTTGCGAGAATATTTGTGAGTTGGCCTTTAGATGAGACAAAAAGAACATAAATTTCCCATGAATCAAGCTTTTCCTTGATAAAGTGACGATCGGTCTTCACATGCTTGCTACGATTATGTTGGATCGAATTATGAGTAATGTTGATGACAACTTTATTGTCACAAAATTGTTGCAGAGTAAATGAGACCTACATACATAGCTCGCGGAGTATGATATGCAATCAGAGGGCTTAACATACCCTTAGGGACATAATACGAAACACAGCTTCAGCACAGCTCTAAGGAATCGTGGAATTTTTTTTTTACTTTTCCACGTGATAAGTTTTTCCTTTACGATGGAGCAATAACTCGAGGTAGATCGTCGATTATAGACAGACCCGACCCAATCGACATCCGTACAAATTGCTATAGAGCTAGAGGTGTAACGAGAGAACAATGAACCTAAGCCCGGTGTGACTTTTAAGTAGTGGAGGATCCGATGGATAGCGGTGAGATGGTGCTCGCAGGGATCATGCGTGAACTGACTGATAATACTAACAACATTTATTGGTTAGGTAAATGAGTTTCCCCACTAGACGTTGGTAGTGTGTCTTATTCACTAGAATGACATTGGGAACGTCTGCCAATTTCTCATTAGGATACATTAAAACAGCTGCCGATTTGCAAAGTAGCTTTGTTTTAGTCGGTAAATCTATAATATATTTACGTTGGGAAAGACTAATGCCCCTAGAGGACTGCGCTACTTTCATACCTAGACAAGGCCCATGTTTTGACGGGCTAGGCCCCTTTTTGTAACCTCTTTGTTACTTTTTGATATTGTAATGCAATATGCACTTTCCTAGTCTTTCATCTCAATAGATGTGGTCATGATGCATTCGAAAGATTCCAAGATCGACAAATCATTACTTGTGAGTACGATGTCGTCGACACAGACAACGAGGATGGCAATACGATCATCAGATGAGTGACGAAAGAGCAGTTTGTGATCAGATTGGGAATCATGACTCACAACAACTTGTGTAAACTTGCTGAACCAGGCGCTGAGAGATTGTTTCAATCCATAAATAAACTTCTGCTATCGACAGACTTGTCCACGAGAAGAGGTTTAGTCAAAGCCCGATGGGAGAGACATATACACCTCCTCTGCGAGATCGCAGTTAAAGCTAGCTTTCTTGAGGTCCGGCTGGAGTACGGGCTAATCCAGATTCATGGCAAGGGATAACAGAACCCGAATGATATTTAAATTAGCTACAGGAGCAAACGTCTCTTCATAGTAAACTCCATATGTTTGTGAATAGTTTTTAGCGACCAACCACACCTTGTTGCATTCAAAGGATTCATCGAAGTTCCATTTGGCGCTGAAAATCTACGTGCACCCACTTCTTTCTTTCCTTGAGGAAGAGCAACAACATTCCATGTTTGATTGAGTCGAATGACATTCATCTTGTCCATGATTGTAGCCTTCCAAGACGGTCAGCCAATTGTGTCTCAATAGTGAATGAGAGACAACAATCCATCAAGGAAGTGGCAAATGTTTTGTAGGTCTGAGATAAGCTGTAGAATGAGATGTATTCTGCCATGAGATAATTAGTGCATGCCTGTTTGCACACCTCAATGTGGGAATTCAACTCATTCACAGCAGGAGTCATCCCCGTAAGTTGAGAGAGCATCGTTCCGAGGATGTCAGCCGGAGCAGATTCCAAGATCTGCAGTGAAGCAACATGCTCGAGTATAGGGGCATTAAGACGAGTCTCAATTGAGGGTTTAGTATGCCGAGTATAGACATAGAGAGTGGATGGAGGTGATGTTGGTCTGGATGGTGACAGAACTAATGCGACTAAGTGTTCCTCGGATATAGTGGCTGTAAGAGTAGGTAGTATATCCAACAGAGTCAGAAAAGAAATAGTGTCTAAAAAATTAGTTCTCCATCACTTTTGTCGGTGTTAGGAAAGTATGAGATATTTTCAAAAAATAAGACATCATCACCCAATTAGTTTTTTCTAATGGTAGGATCAAAACACTGATAAAATTTTTGAGTAGTTGAATAGCCGAGGACAAAAGCATTTAATTGAGCGGGGATCAAATTTATTATGAGTCGGGGTTGTGTTCCAATCAAAGGTTGTGTATCCAAATATTCTGATATCTAATGTGGAGAAGAATCGATTAGTAGGAAAACATGACATCCATTGGATAATGGGTCTGAAAGTTGTAAATTTTTGTGAGAACTCTCTTAATGAGATAGGTAGTGGTAAGGACGACGTCATTCCAAAATCGTTTAGGGACATTAGTTTGAAACGTGGTGTATCGAGCCACTTTGAGAAGGTGTCGGTTGATCCGCTCGGCTATCTCATTTTGTTGAGGGTTATTCGTACAATAGATATGATGGAGGATGCCATCTCACCAAACATTCTTCCAATATACACATCCATTGTCTGTCCAAAGGACTTGAGTGATGGTTTTGAATTGGGTCAAAATGAAGTGAATTTTTGAAGGTGTCTATAACTTTAGATTTGTTATTTAATATATAAACCCAAGTCATCTCAGTGTGCTAATCAATTGGAGTAAGGAACCATTGTTTATTAGTGTAGTTTGTAGTTTGAGAGGATCATCATAAATCACTATGACTTAGTGAAAATGGAGAGGAAGGAGTATAACGGTGGAGTGGATGTGGTACACGATGATGTTTAGCTAAATGAAAAATTTCATATTTAAATGTAGATAAATTTTTATCACTAAATATCAGAGGGTACAAATGTTTTAAATAGTGATGGGATGACCCAAGCAGCAATGTAAAAGCATAATTGGACTACAATATATGAAAAAACTGTAATTATAGGATTGAGTGTTTGCATCATCAATGTTATTTTCTTAGATGAAGTAGAGCCTAGCTACCCGCTTAGCAATTCCAATCATCCGTCCCGAACGACAATCCTAAAAGATAAACATCAGCAGAAAAATGAGCAGCGCAATCAAAGTTATGTGTCAACTTACTGGCTGATAAAATATTACACATAAGCAAAGATATATGTAACAAGAATTCCAAAGTCAACCCGACTGTTTGTACAACTGACCATTTGCCTGCAATAGAATTAGAGGAGCCATCGAATAGTCTCGCCCGGAGCACGGAGAGTATGCTGAGAAGAATTGAGAGCACCGGGTCATGTGGTCCGTATCACTTGAATCAATAATTTACGGACTAGAAGAAAAAACCATGTGAGTGCCATAGAAATATTACCTTGATGAATATGAGAGGTTGACGGGCCTGAGAAGAACTAATTGGATCCAAACAACTTAATTAAGTGTTCCGTCTAACTCTTGTTGGAGTCTGGTGATTCGGGGATAGTCTGAGTGGGGATCGACTGACCTGTTGTGGGTTTTGAGGTCGTAGCGAGACCTTTTACAGCAGAAGATTTGACTGAAAATTTATTTGCGTCTTCCCGTAGAGCTTTCAACACTTGTCACGTGCATGGTAGGTTGTTACAAAAATCATACGTGGAGTGATTGGTGCATGACGATGTGGCATAGTGTGGAGCACTGTTGGAGACCAAGGCTGAAGACTCAACTGAATTAGTGGTGATGCCAAACATGACAAGCTTTCGACTTATTTACGGCAGACCTCTGTGAATGCTTCCCGGGTTGAAGGAAGAGGATCACGACCAAATATACGACCGTGAAATTCTTCAAGGTTCTTGTTTGGGACTCACGATCCTTTTTTAAATTTTTTTGGTTGAGGGAAAGATCTGAGGGAGAGTCACACATGTAGTCATAGTAGATGTCACATTTCATCCATAAGTCAACTAAGTCATTGTAGTATTGTGCCACTTTTTTTGATCCCTTTTTTGCCTCGTGGATCTTATTTGAAACTTCATAGAGTTGTCCAAAATTCCCTACGCCTGACTTGGTGTCTCGAACGACAGTCTAAAGGGCACTAACATATTGAAGAAACAAGTATGAACAACCAATCGAGATCTCCATGAAATTAATTAACCATGACATATTTAAGGAGTTATCCACTTTCTGTGCTGTATATGTTGGGTCAGTCTATGGAGGTTTATGAATCATACCTGTGAGGTGAGCAATTTTTTTTTGCGACCTTTGATGAATAAGGGAATAGCTTGAGACAATTGGAGGGAGTTCGAGCCATTGAGTTTGTGAGTGGTAATCAGGAAATTCAAGGGATTGTCATGTCCTCCGGTTTGCGGAGGGATTGAGGTAGGTGTCGATCCTCTGTTGGA